GCACATTGAAATCTAGTGTAAAGCTAAAAACTATTATATTTAACCAATCTTCGATACGGTAAGAGGTTAAACCTGAAATTTTTCTATTTCTAATGTTAATCAGTACATAGTCGCTAAAATCGCTTTCTTTCTCCTCCTCTAGGCCTATGCCGCGGTGCCTCATTGCGCTTGCCCCGCAACCCTAGCTGAAAATCAGCCTTATAGGGCCACGTCTGTGGTAGTCTATTGGCTCTTTGAGGCGCGCGTGGAACGGTTGGGACTGGTTGGCCGAGAAGTCGCCGCCACCAATCACTTTCCTGATTCCTTATCTTCCTTATCCGGCGGTGCTCAGCTCAAGCAGAGCACCACCACCGTATGCTCCACCCTCGGGGTTGCGGGGTAAGCGCAATAAGGCACCGCGACCTCGGCCCAGAGCAGAAGAAGGAACAGGGGGGTTTTTAGTCAGTAAGAGTCTGACACTCCCTCCCGCCCGGCCCTGGGCGGGAGAAGTCATTTGATGATTTTCCCCTCACAAAAAAACCCTGTCCTCTAGGTGGTCCTCACAATGACGATACTGGGCGTTTCCTCACGCTGGATCCGAAACAGGAACCTATCGAAGCTGCCGAGCCCGGTAAGCACCAGGCGGCTCTCAAACCACTCTTCAAAGAGGGGACATACCGCTGCTATAACAGCGTGTCCCAACAGTACCCGATGCTCCACAGGGCCTCCCAGAACCGATTCCTGGAGAAAACCGCGCGCAATCTCTCACCTCGTCGAGCAGCACAATGGGCCGGTACGCGGACGGAGAATCCGCAGGACGCCCCGGCTTCTTGACGAGGACAAGTTTATCTGTCTTCCACGACAACGGAAACTGGCCCCTCTCCAAACATGATGGTTGGTATGGCTGCATTGGCTGCGCAATTTGTTGCTTACATTGCAGCCTAAGATAAAAATTTTTAGTTGGGAATCATTCCTTCAGCTGAATATGGTCCTATTGAATAGCACAAATGCTTGCAAATCACGGGCTCAATTATTGGGTTTTACTATAAACCCATTTACTATTAACCCGTGGCTATGCTATAAACATAATACTAATACATAGGTATTCCAAAATTGTAAGCCCGCCAAAAATGTAGTGTCTATGCCAGCAGTGCCAGCACTGCCAAGCAGAGACGCGAATCCGCCATTTTGTCCGGAAACGGAAGTTATAAACCATCCGGCCGCATACGATAAGCTCTGCTGTCATTGCGGCGTTAATGCCACTTTACAACTATGCAAATTTAAATGTTGCCAGGACGCGTAATCGTGTGGAAAAAATGAATTTCACGACTACAGAAAACTGCGTTTATAACCAACATCCTAGGATTAATTACATTAAACTTATAGAAACGCGCGGTCGGGTTTTGTGTGTGTGTGCGTGACTTAAAACTGCTTAAGTAGTGGCACTATAACTTTGTGCACTAAGGTTATACAATGGTTGACTTAATATCCTAGGCATAGACATTCTTGCAAGCCAACATTGTCTGACCGAAGCAAGGTGCTGTTCGGATTGAAGCCGATTGCTTCGGATCGGTTTTGGCTCCTTATACCTAAACCTGAGAATGACTCACTTTGTTTGGAAGCTTAAGTTATACTTTTCCAGATTTGTTTATTATTTGTGCTAACCTTTTGTTTTATATTTTTATAGTACCTAGTTACTTTTTTTTTAAACAGACCCACACTAGTTTCTGGATTACGTTTGGATTTGATGTGCAGTTTGTCTCTGTTTCATACACCTGATAAGGCCTGACAGGCGTACCTAATCCATGCCTCCATGGTTTTATGTTATGATTTTTATTACGTACCTAACCGTACAAGTACTGGATTTTGCTGAATTCAATGACGCACACTTTCTATCACATACATCAGTCGACGGAATTATAGACTGGCTCAAAATCGATGACGCGCAAATCTTACAGAGATTTTGTGGTGTGCATTTCAAATTAACAATTAAGGTTAGATACCAACGAATTGGTTTCTTTACCGAATAGTTTTTATACAATTGCGCAATCTATAGATGAATTATTATGTTTTCGACTTAGACACGTAATTACTTGACGAGGAACTCGACTAGTTTCAAGCCATGCTAGAGACTCATATTCATGAGCAGCCATGGACCTGTATAATACGTCCATGTGAGCAACATTCCGCGACACACGACGCGGCCTTGTCCCTTCAAGACCTGAAATGAAGATACACTTGGAAGTCTTTTATTTCGTCGACGCATCCCTGAATCGAATGCTTAAAGATGGCACCAGTCTAAACGCATATGCCGTTCCAAGTTACATATTACTACTAGTACAGTACACACCCTTGTCATCAAAAAGAACCAGAGCTATCAGCAGGGCATCTGCCTCTTGGTAGCCATATTATACGAGTTCCTACTTCGAGTTATGCCCGCCACGAAATAACCCCTTATAAATGAAAAATATGTTACAATAAAATGGTTTTGATGAATATAGAAAGATCCTCATTCACCAATAATTGTATTCTTCTTCTTACTACTATTACTTCGTATTACTAATTCGATTTAAAAAATGCGTATCAAGATGATTCGCAAAAGTATTTACAAAAACAACTCCCCGATAATTCTGAGTACGACACAGGGTCGTACATTCTGCATTTAGTGACATCTATTGTGGAATAGTTACATATATACAAAGCGAAGTAAATTTAATGAGCGAGTAGTTTTGCTATAGACCGGCAGATGGCGGTCTAAAGCGCTGTATGGCACGTCCACCCCTAAACCTCTTTGGTTTTTAGTAATCAGTGGTATAGACATTAGACATGTTTTTTTTTTTTTTTTTTTTTGTGAGGGGAAAATCATCAAATGACTTCTCCCGCCCAGGGCCGGGCAGGAGGGAGTGTCAGACTCTTACTGACTAAAAACCCCCCTGTTCCTTCTCCTGCTCTGTGCCGAGGTCGCGGTACCTCATTGCGCTTACCCCGCAACCCCGGCTGAACATCAGCCCTTTAGGGCCCCGTCTGTGGTGGTCTATTGGCTCTTTGAGGCGCGCGCGGAACGCTACGCGCCGTACGCTCGGGCCTGGTTCTGGTCGGGCGGCGAGCTGCCCTTACTCGCCGACCGCAGGCCCGTACTTACGGTGGCCGGAGATCGTCCCTCGATCCCCGACGCCCGTAGTGTCGCCAGTTGCGGCTGCTGGGGCGTGAGGAGGAGGATTGCTCCCTCACGCGGGCCGCCTCTCTCTTTGCGAGCATGACTGCTTCACAAAAGGAGGAGACGGCGTCCCAGTTCCTCTCACTCCGCACCATGGCCTCGACTAAGGCCGGGCGCGAGAGGTCGCCGCCGCCGATCACTTCCCTGAGGATACGGCGGTGCTCAGCCCAGGCAGGGCATACCGCTACCGTATGCTCCACCGTATCCTCTAGGTGGTCCTCACAATGACGACACTCGGGCGTTTCCTCCCGCTGAATCCGAAACAGGAACCTACCGAAGCTGCCGTGCCCGGTAAGCACCTGCGTCAGACGGAAGGTGAGGACGCCGTGGCGTCTCTCAAGCCACTCCTCAAAGAGGGGTCTTACCGCTGCTATGGTAGCGTGCCCGGCCCTCGGTTGCGACAGTCGTTGTCTCCACTCTGCCATGAGATCTCGCCGGAGCTCATTCCGCCACGCACTAATTTGGCGCGGCAGAGGATCTTCGCCCCGGCGACGCGCGTCTGCGCGCAAACTGTAGACGCGCGCGAGCGCCTTCGCTTCTAGATCCCACGGCGGTGATCCGGCAAGGAGGTTCGCCGCCTCCCCGGAGATCGTGCGAAGACATTAGACATGTCACTGTTAATTAAAAGACTTGGCTTCAAGGACTTGTATCCAGGCTATAAACTCCAAAAAAAACATGTCACTGTCAAATCAAATAAGGATTGTATTATTTATGCTGTCAGGGTTAAGATATACTTGCAAGTATCAATACCAGGGCTTGCAAGTACGAGTATGTAAAAGTACCAGGGACGAAAACCAGGTATTGAAATACTTCAAATTATTTTAAGCCCAAGTGCGCATTTCAGTATAGTTCTAGTTCGTACCATATGACATTCTTATATATTTTTAAATGACAATGAAATATTTCCTTTCTACTTTAATCACAGGCTTAAGACTGACTGCTATGCTAAGAAAATTATTTTAAGTTTGATAAACAGGTTGATTTATTCGCCACCATTCTAGGGAGTTTTGATCTGGAGACAAAACTGAATCATCTAAGTGATGCCACAGACTGATTTCACTCGGTCACGTATATCATTGCAGTTACTAAACCAACTACATGTTTTCAAAACCTCTTCTAAAATACTTTTTTTCATGTAATAATGTGTCTTATATCAATAGCCATTAGGGTGAATAGCGCAGAAATCATAAAGTTGCCAAAAACATACACACACACAAACACCTACACTGATTTTGGTTTCCGCAATTGCGGAATATTTCTAACATAATAGAAATTTGCATATGAATAGTACTTAGAATTACTTGCAAGTCTTTTTGTTTTATTAACGGATGAGGCAAATTATTATTGAGGCAAAATGAATTGCTTTCCTATGCAAGTATATTTTAAAGGTATTGGACGTTCAAAGCGCGCACGTGCAGTGACGGCTTGCCAAAAGAAATTGAACTCTAAATACTTTGTAATACGGGCCACTACCCAGTATACAAATAATTATACTTGCAAAGATAAACCATTAAAGTAAAATACTTTCATGCCACATTGTGTCACCAATACCTTGCGAATAAGGGCACAAATCAGGGACTCGGGCGGTCGAGCGTCTAGCCCCGACCGGAGCGAATCCGAGTAGCCGTATAAAATACTTTAAAGTCTTGCAAGTATTTCGGGTCGGCACCTGGTATACGTACTTGGAAGCAAATACCAGGTATAAAAACCTGGTCGTGTAAATACGTTCATCCCTACTGTCACATGTGATAATATATACGTTTTAAACGTAGTGGTTACATACTCTTTGATACGTTTGACAACAAACAAAAGTACAAAACTTAATTCATTATTTTTGTGTGTGTTTAATTTATAGGTAGTGTAATTAATTTATTTTTTCATATTTCTATACCTAACTTGTTACAATGCCTCGCAAACCTTGCTACTGGACGCGAAAACTGGAATTAGATTTAGTTAACTTTGTTCACCAAAGAGATTACATATGGCGGCCTGCGGGGAATACTAATCATCACATTCAACAAAAATATAAAGCTTACGCTGAATTTGCAGCAATATTAGGACGCGGATTTACAGGTACATTTATTTTTTTATAATATTAATATCTATACCGGTCATCTCTCGCCATATTGTAATTCAAAAAAATCATTTTAAATCCGCCCCTAAGGCTACCCGCTGACTTTTTTACCTAATTAATGATCAAACTAGGTGAATTCCTATCAAAAATTCAACAACTTTATCCACTTACCGTTTCCTTTACTGTTTCATTGATTGCTACAGATTGTGTCTATTATTTAGGACTTTCGTGTATAAATCCTACATGGAAAGTATTACTTTCAACCATGAAGCAAGGTTATTTGCCTCATGCTTTCACTTCTCATAGTTAAATTTCACACACCACGATTTAGTACATTGTATTTAGTAATGGTTATCTAATATGTAATTCTACCTTTCTTTCTAATTTTGGAAACGGTAATGTTCACTGTAAGTCATCCTAACTTATTCCAACGTTTGTCTGATGCTGTGCCAAGGAATAGACGTGACAATACTCTGCTTTGTGTTCGCGGCGGTAAAACTGCTCTTTTGCATAAGAGTATTTTTTGCATGGCTCCTACCATATTTAATAAATTACCCAAGTCATGGAGATTATTGGATGTATCTGGCCTAAAATTGAAATTAAGAAAATTATTAATAGAGAGATCTTATTATAGTATTTCTGAATTTATGAAAGAGGATAATTTTTCTTGATTATTATGTCATTTAATTTATTTTATTGTATAAAATAATTTTTATTGATAATTAAATTGACATTGAATTGATATTGTATTGACATTGAATTTAACTAATAACTAACTTGACATTGAATAGAATTGATAATTGAATTGAATTGATAATGTATTAAGATTTTAATAGCAATTTAATAAGTGTAGTCCCGGTTTGAAACCCAGCAATTGTACGCCATTCAACTATTTGTACGCCACGACACGCGGCTGAACATGTTTGAACTTTCTTTCTACTGTAATATCTTGCATGCAATGTATGTATACCATGTTTAAACAAATAAATATACTTACTTACTTACTTACTTACTTACCATCTGCCACAATGTTAGATTTTCAAAATATATGATCTGTTTCTTAAATGATTGATTTCTCTGATCTCACTCACATTTTTCATTACCAGTATCCAGTATCACTCTTACATTTAATTTTACATTGTTAGCAGAATGTATACATGACATCGGAGATTCCAGAAAATCTAACATTGGATGAATTATAATTGTAAAAATGGTAAAACTGGGCCTTGAGTAGTACCTAGTACCTAGGAAAATGCAAAATTTTTGATCAAACAATAAATGTAAACTGTGAGTAGCTTTTGAGTGGTGAAATCATCAAATAATTTCTTTAGCCCTGAGTTAGGTGAGAACAAGTGTCAGGCTCTTACTGACCAAAGATCACCCTGTTCATTCTCCAAGGCCACTCTAGTATGAATGTGCTTGATCCCCACCCCAGGTGACTAGGTTATGCCTTAGTCCTATGGTCAAAACAATGGAATGTATGTAATACCAATCAAATGTAGTTCTTTAAGTTTATTGTATTGTGACTATTTTGTTTTCAGCTCGTTCTGTCAGAGATCGTTGGGTGAACATTAGGAGTACCTTCAACCATAACCATAGAAGAGTCGAAAGGTCCAAGCTTAAAGCAAAAACTGCTTCAGACATATATGTCCCATGCTGGCCCCTATGGAAGCCATTACAGTTTCTGAAAGAAGTTTGCAAAAAAGAAGATAGTAATTATGAGGTTCGTAGCCATAATAAAAAATGTGACATCACTAGTTACACCAACAATGGAGAGAATGTTATTCTCCTTTAAACAACTATGGTCATTTGTTTAGGTAATAAACCATAGTAATAAATAATCTTGATACATCTTCCTATATTAAGGAAGATATATAAAAAACATAAAAAGTTTATTACTTAACATCAATAAAATTGTAGGCACTTCAATATAATTTTAGACAACTTTTAGATAAAAAGACATGTTAAGACATTTAGTTAATTGTATAAACAAATGGACCAATGGATATATTTTGTTATATAATGCACTTTAGATGCTGTTATCATAACACAATGTATATATCACTAACACAACAGTGCAGTTTTGCTAGATCAAAGTGAAATTAATATTTGATTGTTCTGTTAATTTTTTCTATGCTATAAGGTAACAAGCAATAGAATGAGTCACCTGATGGTAAACTTTGGCCCTGCAATAAATACATTACTATCCTTTTCAAAAATGTTGGTGATTTGCAAATTAGGGAATGGAAGGGAAAAGACTGGGCCTCTGACATCAGACATCACACTATGCAATACAAGCTAGTATTGTATTCTTATGTAGTAATCCTGTTGATTTGACCCATTTGTGGCAGAGTGGCTCTCTCACACGCATTCATTATTGTAAATTTGTTTTCAGTTTTATGAATCAGCATCCAGTGACATGAAACAGTTAACCGATAATGTAAATGTAAAGGAAGAACAACAATCTGAATTTGAAAATGATTTATTTCTCAATATCCGTCAGAGGAGCCAACGAACAGACAGACCTCGTCACAAATCTAGAATACTTCACAAATCAAACAGAAAAACGAAATGCAAACAAGTAATTGATGACCTCCTCGTAGCTATGAAGCCTTTAGCGTCTGATCCATTGCTAGAACAAAACTATTGGTTCTTTGGAAAACATGTGGCAGAGCAACTAAATTGTATGAGAAGACTTGATGCTGAGAGTGCTGCTAATGAAATAGTAAATCTATTAAATGAATGGTAACAAGAGAGTTGACACAAAAGGTTTGTTGGCTTGGTTTTAGATATATCATTTGAGATTCCCCTATATCTTGGGTAGCAGTTGTTTGGATCAAGTAAATTTAATCCAGCTGTGTTTTCCATCCAGCGGAGTCATTGTTGGATAAGTCTAAATCCAACTGGACCTAATCCGGATTCAGCATAGTTTGGTATGAAAATAAAAAGACTGAAAATTTAAGAACCCATACTCTATTAGGAAGATGTGGTTATTTGTTTGTTTGAAATATGCTCTGAATTTAATAGGCCGATTTGAAAAATTATTTCAGTGTCGGGAAGCTATACAATCCCCGATGAACAAAGGCTATAAGGCGAGTGTAAATGTGAGGCACTACTAGTGTTTTTTAGTATTAAGTAAGTAATTTAATAACTTCTTACCATAATCTATGAAATCTTTCAGTATTTAGTTTCTTAACCATTTGAGATTAAAAGAATTCACTTCAAATTGAGGCCATGAGAGCCAGAGTGGCCTAATTACTTAAACAATAGTTTTCAGTAGTAGGGAAGAAACACAAGCCCAGATTAAAAAAAAATAACTTCAGATATTTAATATATTTTATTTTTCTTTGGTGCTCAAATCTCTTAGTATATAATATTCTATATCTTTTAGGAATCATATGAGCCCTAGCCCTTAGTTGCATGATTTTTTTGATTGATGAAAAAAAAATCATGTGCATGTAATTGGACCTCTAGGTAATGGGAAAAATAATAAAAAAAATCTTTGACATTTTTAAGTATTATTTTTTTATTAAAAACGCTTTGATCTAAATTTCCATCATCATGCAGAATGAACTTATGAGCTTAGTACAAATTAAAGTAAATATGCAAAGTAATTAATAATTTCAATTTTCATGAAAATTAACAAAACAATTGTTGTTTTTATTAAGACATAAGTTAACCCTACATTTGTTGCAGCTGATTGTAGAGTATCCTTTACACTTTGGGTATTTGCATCGCAGTGAAACGCCAACTTGTGGCCAATGGTCACTACCATCTCTTCTAATGTCTTTTGGTGGAGGAACAACTGCAGGCCCTCTCTTCTTTTTTGCTTGGATTTCAATTTCCAAAGAGCTGGAACTTGGACGTCCTCTTTTGACCTCTGTGTTGGATCCTAATGAGCACAAAACTTGAGCCAATTCATTACGAAATTGCCCCATGGAAAGTATATTCTTTTTTGGCATATTTCGCATCATTGCGTTTTTTTTTGTAAATGATCCACGCATTTATTACCGTAAGATCAAGCAAATGAAAGAAAATACGTAAATACCATTTTTTTGACCTTACAGCAATATGGAACCTCCCCAAAAAACTGTCCATTAAATCCACCCCCCCCATATGTTTGTTATACTCTTGGACAATTTTTGGACATGAAATTTCTACCTTTTCCTTCTTTGCTTTGTCATATCTAGTGACACTAGATACTGGTGTTGACCCAACATATGTGGATAAAAGTGTCACCATTTTATTGTCTTTCCAGGTGACACAAGACATATCAATACCATCAAATGTAGTTGTCCTTTCTACATGACTTCCTCTAGGTACTGACTTTTTCATAAACTCTTTTTTGTCGGGTAATTTTGAGTTTGGAATTCGATTTTGTTGTACAGTACCCACAGATTGAATACCTTGCTTGGCTAAATGATGAACCAGGGGCAATGATGTGTAGAAATTGTCAAAATATATTATATGATTTTGATGTCTTGGCACACCTCTTAGCAAACGAATGACAACATTTCCTGTGGCTCCCAGATCAGGTTCTCCTTCTGGTCTTCCTGTATTTTCCTGTCCTGAATACAATTCAAATGTATGAGCATATCCTGATAAATCACAGAGTACATAAAATTTAAACCCCCATTTGTGGGGTTTATTAGGGAGATATTGTTTTAAGAAATGTGCCACTTTTGTGGCACACATCTGCTCATCTACCGACAGTCTTTGTTCCATAGGTATGGTAGAAAATTTAGCTTTGAGGTGCTCAATAACTGGACGTATTTTAAATAACCTGTCGTGATCAGCATGGCCTACAGGCTTGTGATTTTCATTATTTTGAAAGTGCAATGAAAGCTTGATTTTTTCAAATTTGTTGACTGGCATTGTGGATGAAACTGGGCTATAACCGAAAGCAGGAGACCAATATGATCTGGTATTTTGAAATTTTTGGACAGACATGAATAATAATATCCCAAAAAACTTTTTGATATCTGATACTGTATAAATTATTTTGTTGTTAAGATCTTTCTGCATGACATACAAATTAGTTTGAGTAACAATTTCCTGAATAAAATCATCATCAAAAAAATATTTGAAACATTGGTAAGGAGTTTCAAGCTGTGATATTTCTGATGGAAAAGCTGAGCTGCCTAAGAAAGCAATTCGATCCTCATCAAAGTTCATGTCCTTGTTTTTCCAAATAAGTTTTCTTTTGTCCAATAATGTATTGAAAGTATCACCAGTATCACCACAAGGAACTCTGCTTTGACTTTCTCGATCTTCCACCAGTTCTTCAACAAGAGGAGGATCATTTTCAATTTTTTCCTGAGTGTCTTCATCACCATTGTTATCATCTAATAGACTTAGAAGTTCATCCCTAGTACAATGGGGATTTGGTGGGTCATCATCTTCAGAATCTTCTGCCTCCAGTCCATCTTCCGACAGCCAACCATCTTCCAGCTGTGCTAGATAGTATTCTATGTCTTTATCATTGACCATATGCTGAAAAAGCAAAAAAATACATAAACAAAGTGAAATTACATGAACCTAAATTTCTTCATACTTCAAGGATGACAATACTGCATATTGATGTAAATTTACACCATACCTATTTCGCATTATTTTAGTTACTATTTACATGTTTTTTTCACAAATATTAGCAGTTTCCGCAATACTTACCCTACTTCTATGCATTATGAATTTTTTCTCCGAATTCTATAGGCAAAACCTTTAAAAAACTTGATAATTTTATGCACCGTTACACCGAAACCAACAAACTTGAACTTACCAAATTTTGATTGACGTTTGACAGTTGACGTTTGCTTTTTTTTTACTAGGTGCGTTCCGTTTCGTTCAAACGTGTATCAAAAAGTTGCCAGAGACAAAAAATCTTGACCAGCAACCGGTTTTGGGTGCATTTTTTCCTATTGAATGGTTTGATGGAAATATCTATTACTATGCAACGAAGGGTTAAATGCTCAATATATTTTTATCATTTATAAAAAACTCAACGAACATTACTTGAGCACCATCGTATAACTAAGAATATATTAATGGAGATCATTTAAAAACAGTAACACACTTTTCTTCATCTCTATTTTCGATCTTTCACTGTTTTCTTGTTGTACAGTCCTTTTTAGCCGTTTTGCGGAATCATTTGTATTTTTGGTTTTCTTGGTTTGTTATCGTTTAATTGTAAACTTTCCTTTTTTTTTACTCGTCGCTTGCTTCATCTCATTCTTTTTTTCTTCAGTCTTGAATAAATCTTTAACTATTCTTTGTCCTTTATAATTAAGAGCTTTTTGCCGTGGACGTGAAGACTTTATTGTAGCGTAGTTTGGAGTAGGTAAAAAAGCCTGAAACGATTTTTCTTTATCCTCTATTAGATTAATTAACGGCTCGTCATCATCCGAAGATCTAGTCTCATGACTCTTGAGCTTTTGTTTTGTATTAATTTTTTTTTCGGAGTGATTTCTTTTTTCTGCTCTCATCATCAAATGACGAAGAAGTGTATAAATCCGAGACTTGAAGTTTCGTCATGTAGTTTAGTTATCTTTGATAAATGATTCACTAAGATTCAAATCAAGATCAGATTCAGAGTTAGAACAGACGATATTTTCTTGTAGGCCGGACGTACTCGGAAGAGGATAATCGTAGAGAGATGGTTGAGGGTCATGTTTCGTATCTGCGACGTTGAAGCGATGTACTGAACTTAGCAGCATGTGGCGGCACTGATCATTGACCGTAATATCTACTTAGTCTGAAGCATCAGTTGAAGAACTGTAAGAAACAAGAACGGGTTTTCTTTTTGCTGTTGCAGCTGAAAATTTCGGCAATGTCGATACTATCTTCTCTTTGGAAGTTGATGGAAAAATTGAAGAAACGTTAGAAACATGAGCTGACCTCCTTTCATCTATTAGAGATTGAGACGACAATTCTGTCACTTTTTTAAATTCAGTCACAGGGGGCGAGACTTGAACAGATATAAGTGGTTGGTCGATCTGGTGTTGTAACGTTTCCGATAAAGGTCTTTCAGTTACAATTGAAGGAGCATAATAAGCATCTTTGGGTATTACATCAGGATCAAGGGGGTATAAACCAGTAGCTTTGAATCCATTCGTTATATTGGTTTGAGTCATACACTTTGGCCATATTCGGGAGAAAATTTTGTTAAACGCAGCTTTGTTTAAAGTTCTCTGAGAATTGCACAGGTAGTTCAAAACTTCTTCATCCCAGTGATGTTCGAAGGACCGATTCACTGATTTATCTAGAGGTTGGAGTTCGTGCGTGGTGTTCGAAGGTAAGCAGTATAGTACTAGGTATATTATTTTTATCTGCTTCTTCCAGAGACTAATAAGATAAATGACACTTTGCGCCATCAAAGATAAGCAGACATTTACCGGGTACTTTATGTTGTGCTAAATGTTGTATGAACTCTACGAATAAGCTACTGGTCATGCTGCCTTTGGGTGCCATGCTTACCCCTTTAAAGCCGGGAAAAAAAATCTTGCGTAGCTCGTTTTCGATCTTATATTCTAAGTACCCGTGTCTAAAGTCATCCTAGAAAAATAATAAAAAAAGCCCACCCGTCCCCCCCTTAGAAAACGCCATGTCACGATAGTGCGATGTCGGCTTTACCTTGTCTAGTAGAATTTTGTTAAGGTATAATATTGTTATCTATATTTGTATAATTTATAATGAAAAAGACATGATTATTCGTAATTATTTATTTATATAAATAAAAAAAAACTAATCAACATTTAAACTAAAAAATTACTTCTTGAGATCAATCATTTCTTTAATATTTTAGTACAAACGTTTTGAAATAAAATCTTATTAAACTTAGCCTCTAATTATTGCTTATGAAAGGATATGAAACAGTTGCCTTTTCTGTTAAGACAAAGATACACATAGCATTTTTCACATCTTATCTTAGATCTACTTGTTCACCCTTCCATTCTACAGGATCGAGGGTTTTGGATCTCGTCAAATACCGGGTAATGTTCATAACCATCGTGACGTTTCGCCTCTGAAGGTACGTAAGCCGGTCGGTATCTCTTGGCAGGAATATTTGGGTCGATATTTTCCGGGTCTTGAGTCTCCAAACTTTCAATGTTTTCAACAGGATCTTGGACGATCAGGGGTACTGGTAAGATCATCGGCTACTTGCAATTTAAATAATGATATATTTTTTATCAGGTATTCTATTCAACATAATCGTTCCTGTCCCATGCAATCCTTTGTCAGATAACCTTTCCAAGAGAGGTATTGACGTGAAATAACGATCGAAGTAAACGCAACTTCCTGGGGCACCCACACCCAAAGATTTATCAGTGAATGGGGTGTTAGCCCCTTGATAGACTTAAAGTCAAGCATTAGGCCATCGCTCGTTGTGGCTACAAAAGCTTTCAAGCCGGTGGGTCTAGGTACTTGATGACTTGGCGTAGACGTGCAAAATTCCTTGCATTTATTTCTTCTGACGCTGCATCAATTTTCTGGCGAAGTTCTGATAGATTTTGTATTGGTTTTGAATAGACTTTTTCTTTTATGCATCCCCAGTAAAAAAAATCAACTGGATTTAGATCGGGGAACGAGCAAGCCATAAAATTGAACCACTGCGTCCGATCCATCTGTCAGGATATTCTTCGTTCAAATAATCTCTTGCAGCCCGAGCATAGTGCGCGGGACCACCATCTTGCTGAAACCACATTTCTTTGTAGATACTAAGCGGTACGTCTTCTAACAAATTTGGCAAACCGTTTTGAATAAAATGCAAACAGTTTGCGCCATCTAAATTTTGAGTTTGGTCCAATTATTCGTCCGTTTAAAATTCCAGTCCACATGTTTACTTTGAATTGGTATTGGGATCGGTCTTTACGCATCAAATGCGGATTTTCGACGTGCCATTCATGGAGGTTGTGTAAGTTTAAATGCCCGTCTCTTTTAAATGTTGATTCGTCGGTCCATAAAGTTTTATTTAAGAATACCGGATCTTCACGAATTTTCGCTATCATTGTCCTGCAGAAATCAATTCTAGGTGCGTAATCTCGTGGTAACAAACTCTGGACACGTCGCACATGATAAGGATGAAATTCGTATCGTTTTAAAATTCGATAAGCGTTACTTTTCGGTACCCCCGTTGTTATTTCAATTGCACGAACTGAAGTGCTGGGGTCATTTTGAATTTCATTCAAAACTATGTCGTCGTAGTCTCTTTGCGGTCTTCCACCGGTCGTACGAACACTGGGCAATCGTCCTTCCGAGTATGACGCATGCACATTTTGAAATACACGATAATCTGGGTGACACTGCACATTTGGGTATCTCTCGCGATACAATCTGACTGCGGCAGAGGCATTACAACGGCATTCACCGTAGATAAGATGCATATTTGCATATTCTTCTGCTGTGTACAGATCCGGCATGTTGTTGTTCACACTATGTATTTTCAAAGCACAAAGTCCAGAAAAGCAAAGCCAATGTCGTCAGTAAGAATGCAGTATCAAGTCCAAAGTAACACAAGCCAAAGTCGTTAATACGATACACGAAATGAGTTACACGAATACGAGAGATGCGTAGTAGACGAAGAAACGATGCGTACTAAATGTTGTGAACGAACGACCCCTCTAGCGTCACTATCCGTCTCGCTCATCCTAAAAGTCGAACGTCAATCTTTCTCACTCTAGACTGAGAGAGACTGTCAGCGTCACTATCTATCTCATTCCATCACTTTTGTTCATTACACACTCGAGACCCCGATATGTTAATACAAAAAAGTATCAATTATTATTTTTGAAATGCGCTCAATTTGAAAACACTAAGAAATAAATATTTTTATGGCAAGAAAAGTGGAAAGTGTTGCACCATTTTGAAATCTTGATTAGATGCGCCATCTATTAATTCTTTTAAGGGTAGTGTAGTACATTTTTTTTCAGTATGAAGTGTCAAAGTAAACTAACAATATTTTTGTGAACCATGACTCTCTAAAACTTATTTTATTAAAGTCTAGAAATTTCTGTGAAACTTCCGTCTCTGGTGCAATTTCATGTATAGCAAGATATGCTTCTGGAATTAGATTGGGTGGTAACAGAGCCAAACTTGTGCACAACTGTGTGATTTTGCGACCTAAGTGAGTTTCGTTGAAATTCAATTTTTTACTCATTCTAAACACAGCATTTAAAAAATGGTAATAACAGCCTTTTTTGCAGCAACTTCGTAATCGCATTTGTATGAACTAATATTCATACGAAAATGATTTCTAAGTACAGAAAAGAACCTTTTGTATGTATTTGTGTTCTTATTTGGTAATAAGCCATAGACAATAGGTACAAAACTAATTGTGTTTTGGTCTCATGCGATATCAATATGTAAGGTGTACAATTGGTAAAAAGGCGACGGTGTCACCTTGAATGTACCATCTCCGTATACATTATCAATTGTCTGGAATAATTCTCGCAGCTTTTGAGCAGGTAACATCGAAAATATTACTCACGCGCACATTTGCTCATCGATGGATAGGCGTTGATCCAACGGTATGCTAGAAATTTTTTCGTTTAGAATCTAAACGAAAAAATTTCTAGCATAGCATCTAAACTTTAGATGATCAATAACTGGACGCAACTTATGAAGTTTATCGTGATTGGGTTCGTTTATAGGTTTGTGCATATCGTTGTTATTAAAATGAATGATGCGCCTTATTTTTTCAAACCTGTTTACAGGCATAGCTTCAGATATGGGCCGAAAACCAAATTTAGTATGCCAATAGGAACGAACGTTTGGGTAATGGTATACAGACATGAAGATCAATATCCCCATATATTTACGTATCTCAACGTCAGTCACACAATCAGGACGATCTGGTTGCTTTTGAACGGAGTATCTGTTCGATTCTTCAGTGATATTGCTGAATAAATCCGGAGTAATATAATAGGAGAAAAATTGAAAAGGCGTTTCAAGTGTCATTATTGATGCAGGAAGATCATTACAACCTTGAAATCGTATGTTATCTTCTTGGAATATAAGTGACTGCTTTTTCCATATAAGCGTTTGCACATCAATATCATCACGAATTGGTACCTGGCACACGGTCATCAATCAATGCAGGGTCTTCTATCAAAGGAGGGTCTTCTATCAAAGAGGGGTCATGCACATCGGCTACAGGTTCAGATTGTTCATTGTCTTCCAGTACGGCTCGCAGCTCTGTAGTAGTTAGGATTTCTTCAAAATCGTTTTCATCTTCTTCATTTCTATCCTTGGATAAGTAACCATCTTCTAACTGGCTTAAATAATCTTCAATATCTCTATCGGTAATTCTTTTACGTTCCATTCTACAACAAAATGCATAAAAAGCTTAAACCCGCAACCAAGCATAAATGTAACCAAATCAAAGTCCCAAATGCATGATGTCTCATTTTTGATACAAGCAAAAAAAGCTATTTTTTTATTTATAATGTGATATTCGAATGAAAAATATTCTGTTACCATGCAATCAAAGTACTTACCTATAATATAATATTTTTTTTATCTGGATTAGCTTCAAGATTTATTCAATAACACGCGATGAAAACTTTCAAATTCACTTGTTGTTAAAATTTGTAACTGTCAGCGAACAATGACATATGAACGCATTACGAAATGGCGGACCAATCACAATGCTTTACTTTTTCGTTCAGAAACTACTATTCTTTTACATTATAAGTCAAAATTATGCGTAATAAAAATTTAAAGGGCTCTGAATCATATAAAACTTTCCGTTACGTTTTTGATACAATATGCCTTTAAGGGTTAAATCTTAATAAGCAATTAAATTCTTAAGTACGGTAAAGCATAATTAATTATATAATTAAATTCTTAAGTCCGAATCAGGCATTGCAACTTCACATATTTTTTCATCTTCACACTCTTCAGTTCGTCTATTCCGTTTTCTGCTCGTAGCAGTACCTGTTTGTAGAAGTCTAAATCATCCCTAGACCTCCAATTCTCGCCAAAGTGTTTTTAGTAGAGCTTTACCATCTTTTATCTTTCTTTACTACAACTTTATATTTTTCAATCAAATCCGGGTTTAGGTCAATAAATGTCTTACCTCTCTTTAAAATTGACTTGTAACTTCCTAGATCAGCATTGTAGTTAGGCTCCCCTCTTATGAAAACATCATTGCTTCTGTTTCGTTTTAAGAAAAATGGTTTACACTGGTTAAATTGGAAATGCCAGTTTCCCGGTGGGCGAATTATATTTCCGAGAGCAGTTTTCCAATCTTTAACATTGTTCAATGCCACAACGGTCCCATATTTTTTAAAGACTTCTATGTATTCCACAGGTTTTGAAATGGTCTCCATACGTTTTATTTCCTTCTCAACAAGACCGAAAACCCGATCTGGTGGAATAAACGAGTGACCGGAAATGGGGAATACTAGCTCAACTGTTTTAATATGCCGCGGTGCCTGAGTTAACCATTTAGCGCACATACCAATCATAATGCTGTTTTTATTCTGAGCGCCGCATCCATCCGCCACCAGTCGAACAGTTTTGACATTTTCATTGTGCACTGTATTTTGAAGCGTGTTATAGACGGCCGACGCTATTTCATTTGCCCCTTTACGGTATTCATCTTCAGTCCAGGTATACAGCGTTACGTTGTCCCTGTTCAAGGTATTTTCAGGCACCGACTTTATGACTCCAAAATTATATATATATATAACTGGCGACTGTAATATGCCGCCTGATCAGATATTTTAGGCAATACCTGATTCTTTTGGCAATCAAAAGAAAACACAACTAAATCGTCCCTTTTTTCCTTAAGCAGGCGATAAAATGCTCGTGCCTTCAACATGTGTACCCTTTTATCCGTCGTTAAATTGACTTTTTCAGTTGGATCTGTTGATTTTTTTATACGTTCAATTAGTTCATTGCACTTAAAACAAGTATCTGTACGAGGACTTCCAAATCCTAGATTGTAGCATGTGTTAAAAACTGATCTAAAGTAATATTCACGTACTTGGATTTCATTGCTTTGATTAAACATTCTCTACATTTTCCGAATGTTTAGAGTAGATGGCAAATATTTTCTCAAAACGGTCGATCTGCAATAATGTGACTCTAAGCCCTGAAATGACTCTATAAATCTTTTGACTTCTCTCAATTTATAGATATTTTTGGCTGATGTATGGTCTCCACCTCTTTTTTCTTGAACTATGGATCCTGTGCTGGCAAATGTTAGAGATACTTTTCTTATTCTGTGCTCAGTAATCCGCAAAATATTTATGTAAGTTTTTTGGCAAACTCGTATTAATTTCACTGAATTTCTCATTCGAACAAATAATTTTGTTGTATTTTGTGTTGGCTGGCGCTGTCCAACTCTTGGCCGGCGTCTTTTCATCCTTGACACTCTGCAGTGCTTCAATAAAAATGCATCTTGGTCCTTTTTATTTCTTGTTTTATAAAATTCTCCATGGAAATTTTGTATATCTAGTATCGTTAATTTGCAACATTTAAACTGTTTATTTTCCGCATCATGATTACAGCGTGGCAAACCTGGTGGCCTTTTAGCAGAGTACCTGTAAAAATAAGTAGTCTAAAATAACCATTTTATGAGACCTATTCAATAAATACCCATACGATCGGTTAACAGATCCACGGACAGACAAACGGGCTGAGCAAAAATTATAAATGTTGCGTTTCGGCCGTTAAGTACCTATCTACCGGATTCCTAGAAACAATAAATTAGGTAGGTATCTATTTAGTACAAAAATAACAAGAAAGGATACTTTTTTATCCGTTTCACACTCTAAGTCACGGGCAGAGCAATAAAAAGAACATTGCTATAAAAAAAAACACGTGCCATTCCAAACTAAGATTCAATAACTTTACGTGCTGATTGTACAAACATCACATGTGTTTGTGCAGATGGTGGCAGTCCACGGGTCGACGAGACTACTGTTGTTTTGTTTGCGCCCGCCGCAACTGAGGCGACTCTACTCGCGAATGCCAAGAATGGCTCCCTTGTGACCAGTTTCTCCATGATGGTATGGAGTGTGGGCTGACTCAGCTGGATTTCGAGTCTCAGCTCCAGTTCCACCCTATCTCTACAATGTCTTGGGCAGTCGAAGAGCAAGTGCCATATAGTCTCGTCGCAGTCGGGGTCGCAGACGCACGAGGGACTCTCCTTCAGATGGAAGCGGTGGAGATACGCTGAGAATCCCCCATGACCCGTGAAAACTTGAGTGAGGACCGGTGACAGAATCATATTTGCGAGGATCCTTTTCGCTACCAGGACGTCTGGGAAAAACGCTTTTGTAACAGCCCCCGTGCTGGAGACTTGGTACCGTTCCTGCCACCTCTTGATGGTCTCCTCACGTATGCTCTTTCGGATGTAGGAGATTGGGACTTGATTGTAGTCCGAGGAACTCCCTGATAGTGCCGCCCTTTTAGCCAGCTCATCCGCTCTCTCGTTTCCGGCGGTCCCCACGTGGGCCCTCAGCCAGAAGAATCTCACCTCTCTGCCCTCCTCTTCGATTTCTTTAATGTACCTCTTAATTTTGAGTGCCAAGTGATGAGTGACAGAAGGACCCCTCAGAAGGTCGAGCGAGGATCTTGAGTCGCTCAAGATGTCAACGGAAGTCGCTCCAGATTCCCTCACCATCTCAACAGCTCTGAAGAGAGCGTACATCTCCGATTGGAAGACAGTATTGTGAGGCTCCAGGCCGAAGGTGCAGCTCTTTAACTCCTTTCCGTTTTCCCACCAAGTTAGGGCAGCTCCGACTTTCCCTTCTATCTTGCTGCCGTCCGTGTATATTTGCGGACGGGTTGCTTGGTGGGTTTCTGGGTTTTCTGGAGTTAGATCCTCTAAGCATGCGTACTCTGTTATTGTGAGCGACGCTGGGTGAGGATGTTGGGAGTGGTGTACATTGCTCTCCAGCTGCCGATCCGGCGGTATAAACTTTTGAGAGTGGCCCTTTTTGATCTTGAAAAGGGTTGCTGCCTCCATTACTCGTAGGTCTAAGGGGAGTAGGCCAGATAGGACGAGTGCCGATGTTAGAGACACCGTGCGGTACGCTTTGCAAATTTTCTGCGCGAAGCCCCTTTGCAGAGAGTCAAACTGGTTTTTGGTCATCAGTTTTCCCGCCGCAGGCTCCCACGCGCTCGCCGCATACATCACGATGGGCTCCACCACCGACACGTATATTGTCCTTATTATCTCTCTGTTGAGGCCCCATGTCACCCTCGCCGCGCACGCCAGCTTTTTTGTAGATGTCTGCCGCCTTTTTACAGGTGGCCGACACGTGCGCGTTGAAGGTGAGTTTGGAGTCTATTGTGAGACCCAGCAGTTTAACCTCCTGGACGAGGTTCAGCTGCGTGCCGGCCATGTGGAGGACCGGGTCGTCATACTTAAGCTTCCTCGTCAGCACCATCGCGTTTGTTTTGTGCGCTGCAAAACGGAGCTTATTCCTGACGCCCCAGTCCGACACCATGCTCAGGGCGGCGTTCGCACACTCCTGCAGGGGACCGGTGGTGTGGTCCGATATAACAAGGACAACGTCATCCGCGAAGGCCTGGCAGTAGATGCCTTTGCTGGCCATTTTTTGCAGCAGTGAATCTAGGATTAGATTCCAGAATGTCGGTCCGGCTATTGAGCCTTGGACGCATCCCTTCGTGGTTCCCTTTCCACAAGACGCTCTAGCGTAGTTCACTGTAATGCTGCGATCTTTTAAATATGAGGCAACAAGAGCGTACAAATTCCTGGGACAGTTCTTGACCACCATCTGTCTTTTGAGTGCTGGCCACCACGCGTTATCGAATGCTCCCTCTATGTCCAGTGATATCAAAAGCACGATCTTTTTGGCTTTGATTTCGGCACGAATATGTCCCATTAGTGCATAGAGGGCATCCTCGGTTCCGCCCTGTGGCATAAATCCATATTGGTTGGTGTTCGGTGTAGGAAGCAAATGCCACTGCAGCCGGCCCACCAGGAGCTTCTCGACTATTTTGCCCAGGACCGAGAGCAATCCTATTGGCCTGTATGATTTGGGATTGGTGTAATCTTCTTTTCCAGGCTTGCGGAGTATGCACACGTGGGCGACCTTCCACTGTTTTAGGAAGTACGACAGGGACAAGCACTTATTGGCCATCCCTAGAAACACCCCCTGTCGCAGTTTATTGCCGCTATGCAGATGTCTGCCGTCAACCCATCGGGGCCCGGGGCTTTTTTCGGATTTTGGCCTTGGAGAACCATTTCCAGCTCCGCCAGTGTAAACGGCGGGTCTTCGGGAGACAGTCCTAGGGGGTTTTCTTCTTCCGCAAGCCTTCTGAGTGCTCTGTGGTGTGGCTGATCATGCTCAGATGAGTCGTCAGGGTAAAAGGTCCTTGCCAAGAGATCCGCTGATTGCTCTGAACTGAGCGTCTCACCCGAGGTGTTTCTGAGGAGGGTATCCTCTTGTCTCTTGGCTGTCTTTCTTAGTACCCTGTAAATGCCATCCCACATACTTTCTCGGTCCTGTTTTGAGCAGAATTTCTTCCAACTCGCTGTGGCAGCTTCCGTGGCCGCCGCAGTGTAGGCGTTTCGTGCCGCAATAAACTCCTGGATGGTGAAGTGTCTCCGGCTGGCCGCCGCGTTCCTGATTCTCCTTTTCTTCCTCAAGGTGTCCTTTTTCAGGGAGTCCAATGAGTGATTCCACCACGGAGGTTTCGCATCATATTTTCGTAGTCCTAGAGCGGGTATAGCTTCCTCGCATGAACGGTGGATATTATATATATACGCGGTAACGAATGATTCCAGATCTTCTTGGTTCGAGATGCCCGAGATGCCGGGTACCGTGAGGTGGTTTCCTAGCAGTCCAGCTTTGAAATGCGAGCGGAATTCTGACCACTTGGCCTTCTTGGTGTTGTAGATGCGTGTCGAGATTGGCTTTAGGGGTTCTAGGGCTTTCTCTAGACGCATCGAGAAGGTTATTGCGTTGTGGTCCGAGGTAGTGGTATTCCTTTCCACCCGCCAGTCGTCGATTTTGCCTAGCATTGGCACGCTGCAAGCTGTTACGTCTACGATGCTTGTGCACCACCTTTCCCCCCTGTATGTCTCGAACGTCGGCACTTGTCCGCTGTTTAAGATCTGGAGATCCCGCTCATTGACAAAAGTGTTGTATGCCGCTCCGCGATGGTTTTCAGAGACACTTCCCCACCACTGACTCCAAGCATTTATGTCGCCCCCTAGCACGATATTGTGTGTATGTAGTTTGTGTATTGTGTTGTGTGTGGCAGAAAGGTATGGTTCTATTTCCTGGTCGCCCTCGAAGTAGACCGACAGCACCCCCAGGTTTAGCTGGCCCACTCTTAGTAGTACGGCGGCGATGTTTTCCGTCACCAGCTGGGGGTCATGAATGACTTCAACGCTACCACCGAAGACAACTATCGCTGCTTTTACTGGTTTTTGGCGGTTCAAGCTGCACTGGATGACCTGCGTGCCTGGGAATTGCTTCATAACACCTGTATTTCCAATGTATGGTTCTTGGACAAGTGCTATTGTTATTCCCCTTGCTTGAGCCGTCACATGCAGTTCTTCCGTTGCCAGCTTGGAGCGTTGGAGATTGACTTGTATGAAGTGCAATCTGGCTGTCGGTGGTTTTGTGTTTTGGAGGGCGACTGGTTGGCTAGTTTGTTCGTTGTGGTCGTCCTCAGCAATAGGAAACGCGGGATCTCGCTATGCCATCCCATTTTTGGCGTTCCTGGCAGTCTTCGCTAAAGGCTGTGTGGGCCAAGTCGGTGCCTTCTTTTTTGGTGGCTTTGCAGTTTGAACACGTGGGCGGTTTGCCTTCTGCGTGGCTAGGACACTCTCGTCCATTGTGCGCTCCGCTGCAGTAGCTGCGAATCTCCCGGGGAGCTTTGCACAGGGACTTGTTGTGTCCGTAGCCGAGGCACTTGGTGCACTGCACCAGAGAAGACTGGTCTTCTACGGTGCACCTTTTTATACCCACGTGGACTTTTTGTGCCTGAGTGAAGCACTGCCACATTTTTGGAGAAAGCTCTAGCACGGGATGGCATTCGTGGGGGTTCCTCGCACGCTTCCTGTAACGCATCCTGACCGTTTGATCGGCTGGCGCGACGTTTTGCAGAAAATGTTTATTCTGCGCTTTTAGGAGATCCAATATCTCCTCGTCGCTGTAGCTCGCCAGGACTCCTCTTATACAGACCAAGGGGTTCTGGGGTTTCGGTTCCTGAACCTTGAGCCCCTTACTGGACTTGAACTGGTCTTTTATCAAGCCCAGGTCGGTTTTGCTGGCACATCGGAGGACCACTTTTTGATTTCTTGCCTTGCGCACTGCGTCCACCCTTGCTCCAGTCGCTTTGAGGTCCAATGCGTCCCTGATCCTCTCAATAACGTTGTCCCCGGTGTGCTGGGGATTTATTGAGGAGACGATGAGGCTGTGATTAGGCCCCTTAGCTGGTATTACTGGAGTCCTTGGGGTGCTGGGAACCTGAGCAAAGGTTTTGGTGCCTTGTTCTTGCTGTGGCGGTCGTTCAGCTTTGCCCAGGTCTGCCACGTCTTTTTCTATTTTCTTGAGGGCCCTTTTTACCTCCACGACTGCAAGCTCTGCGTCAAGACTTGGCGCTGTCGGCGTTTGAATGGGCGGTTCCTTATCCCGCAGTACGCGAAGGTCCGCCGAGAGGATTTCCAGCCTTTCTGCCAGCGGCTGTGTGTATTTTGCAATGTCGATGTTTGATGTGTTAGGAGGAACGGCCGCGGGTTTATTTTTTATTTCTGCGAGCAGGCCCCGCACTTTTTCCATCTCCTCCTCGAACCTTGCCGTCGGGAAGACGTCGATCTCCCGTATTGGGGCACCAGAATCCGGTTTTGGCCGCGCCAGCTCGCTGCTCAGTTTTTGTTGAGCCATACGGAGCACGTCCATCTGGTTGCTCATGCTGGTCATCTGTTGTTCCAGACGTGACAGCCCTTCTCCTGTGGGGTCGTATTTTTGACCTTCCGCGGGTTTTTGCTGTCTCGTCTTCTCGTGCTCCGTGAGGTTTCTTTGGCTTGCAGCCCTGACCTCGTCTTTTAACTCCTTGATGCCATTTAAGGCATCGAGGGTCTCATGGCCAAGCCATTCCCGGATCCCTTTTGCCTCTTTCTTCGTTTCGAGGAGGTCTGAGCGCATGATGGACAGCTCGGATTTTAGAGCCATCACTTCTGGTGAATGAGCCCTCTCGACTCGCACGAGTTCTTGCGCGTGTCGAGAGCGCTCCTTCTCGAGATTGTATTTGTGACGGGCTCGCGAGTCTGCCAGGGAGAGAACCGTCTCGTACAGGCCCTGTAGGCACTCGTGCGTAACGGCCTTGCACTCCCGCTTCATGTTACCAGCGGTCTCCAGTGCGTCCTTCCCCTTCTGTAGGAGGTGGTTTGCCTCTCTTGTGGCCAGATCCATTTCCACCCCGGTGCCTCTTCTTGGTGTCCTGTATAGAAGGCTTTTACGCTCGGGGCGGTCCACTCCACCCGCCGAAGAGGCAACCGAGTTATCGTCGTCCGAAACGATCTGGTGCGGTGGCGAAACCCCACACTGCTCCCAGTTGAGTACTATGTCCGAGACTCTGCAGAGTTCTTGAGTGGGAGTCTCGGACACCGACGCTGTTGCGTCCGAATGCTGTGTGGCGGTCTCACACCCAGTCACGTCCGGCTCCGATGCTGCCTTGGGTACCTTAGGCAGCTCTGCAGTTCTTGTAGTTCGCTCCGAGACCGACGAAGACGTCTTGGCCGTATTCTTTAGAACTTTTCCCTTAGGGATTTAGATGGCCTGCCGGCGGTCTCCATAGCCGGTCTGCGGGAGTTGGAGGTGGATGACATTTTTATTTGTAATATATTAAAGCGATGTAAAATTCACTAAAGCACCGAGCCCTATGTGCGTGCAGGTGGTGGATTGAATTCCTGTTTCGCCGCTGGAATTTGTGTGTGGTGCTGCCGAATTTGACAATTCCGCAGGGGCCGATTGAAAGGCGGCGAGACATATTTTCGACGAAAAGATGCAATTTACACTCAGATTTTATAAAAAAGCGCGGGAATTGTGAAAGGTCAAAAATATTGATTGAAAGTCGAGAGTGTCAAACTTACCAACATTTAAAAAGTAAAAATAGGTGCGTTCTCAATCACGCGTAAAAAAATTAAATGTCAACCGATCGAACAATCGATCACTAGGAAGATATGGGTAAAGTAACAATGTTTTTTTGCATTTATTTGTAGGTGCGATTAATAGCATCATTAATGAAGATCAGGAAATCAAAAAAATCACAGCGAAATTGTAATATTGGTGATCACAGGACTTGAAAACGTGACCGAAGGGTGTCGAATTTCAACTTTTTTTTTAAATGTCTATTATCGCTGAACTGAGTGATATGGATTTTTTTATTTTTCCTAGAACTGGTATAACTTGGCCTTTCATCCGGTCTCAGATTATCGTTGAGCTTTGGGACACCCTGTATATCGTATTTTCACGGAATCTTTTATGCATTAAATTTTCATTTTCACAAATGTTTTTTCTTTTCGTTTCTTCTTCAATATTATATTCGGAATTAGGTTTTTTAACAATTACCGTCGATAGCAGAGTCACTTTATTATTAGGATCAATTTTTGGCCTCAAAACACCAGTTGTTTTGTCAAGTTCAGTGATCATGAGGTTTTCGTATATCTGAACTTATTGAACCACCAGAAAAGATACCGAAGCATCGCTTTCAGCATACTCAATATTATCATCAGATTCGTCTTCTTCGGTGGACGAACTGATACGCCTTCGCATAGTATTCTAGCTACTCCTTGAATTTTTTAGTTCCTTTTTCTGTTCACTATTTATTTGTTTATTCGGCTGTTTTTGTTTGTGTAATAGTAGGCAAAAAGCCATTAGGTTCAGGTGAGTGGCATTCACAGCTACCTCTAGGATCCCCACAAAAACAGCTGAGATCTCTGTATTTAAGTTTCAGTTTTTCCATTGTTATCAACTGATGAATCTTCATTGTTTGTGGTAAAGGACTAAGCTTTGTAAGAGATATTTGTATTTTCAGATTTTAAAATATCATGCAATGCTGTTTCTGTATTTGGAATATCTTTTCCCTGGGCGATTTCGGCATCTAAAGTTCGTTTTATAACTCCTTCAATACCATCAGCGGCACCTTTTCCATGGGCGGCTTCGAAAAACGACCAAGTACAATAAGTAAACCCATTTTCATAAGTTTTTTTTTTCTGTCTGTACTGGGTTGTTTGGCCATCAGAGAAAAACTGAATGATAAAATTATTTGGATAGTTATTCTTAATATGTTTTAAAACGACGACGCGGACGCAGAAGTTTTGTAAAATCGAGCCATGTACGAAATGCACATGCGCCCATCGCAAACGGCGCATTCGCCAGATCTGGACGCAACATTAGTAGTTGACGAATAGTATAGTTACAAGGATAATGAGAGAACACGTTTTGTTTGAAGTTTCATTTTAATAAAAAACAATTCAATCAGATGAATCGAATACACTTTCGTCTAAATATTCGATGCCAGAAAAGCTACAATTTTGGCTAGAGCTTCCTGCACATTCAGAATCACTAGAATATTCTAATTCTGATAAATCACTGCTAATGTCATCTCTTAGATTTATTACCAGCCGTTCCATCTGTTCATACATAATCGCACCTGTGTACCCATAATATTCCTTCTCTATTTTCATAACATATTTGCATACATTCTTCCAGTCTTCAGCAGTAATGTAAGAAAACGCATGTTCAGCAGCCACCTATAAAAATAAAATATTCATTAAAACCAGTCCTACATCACAATATTAAATAATTAAGCATATATAAACTAGGCTACATACCTTTATATCAATGGACCCAACATTGACTGAAGCAATTTTATGCTTTGCAGTTCCCTATATCAACTCAATGGGATTCAGGTCACAGTGATAAGATGGAAGGCGTACCACAGTATCGCCATGATCTCCTAAAATATGGTCAATTTCGTAAATGGGCTCTGGTTTATTCTGGTTTATGCCGCTTCACTAACATTAATAATTGAGGTTTACGGAGAGACTCATCAAAATGTATATTGTTTTGCAGTAACCATATCTTTATTTCAGCAAAATTGAATCACTAGTTGGTGCCTTATTCAAGACAACCGCATGATAAGGAGCATTATCCATTACAATAATGGACGGTTTGCTTTCGTTGGGGATTAATATTTCAGTAACCCATTTCGTGAAGTTGGTTTTATTCATTTCTGACTGATAGTCTTCGTTTTTCTTTTTGCCACTTAAATCAAAAGGGCATTTAGAACAAATCCTTTCTCACTCCCCGCATTTACTTACAATTATATACTACTCAAAACAAAATAAGGGCCACCACGTTTTTACAGTATTCTCACGAATTCTTGAGGTTCCAGGGTTGATTAATAATTAGATTGGATGAATTAATTAATTATCATTGTAAACAGCATAAAAAATTATGGAAGCAAAATAAAAAATAAAAAATATTCCACTTTTTCTAAAAAATATTTTGTTTAAAAAACTAACGGCGAGATAAAAAAAGTATAAAGAAAGTGTTGGTTGATTTGTGGATTTCCTTAGTATCTGGTGTGCCCTCCTCGTTTTCTGATGCACTCTTGAAGCCTGGAAGGTACACTCTCCACCAGGTGTACTACTGTTTCTTGATGAATTTGTTCCCAGCTTGTTTTCAGAACATTAGCTGTCTTTCATTGTGCACGGGTTGGTTTGTGCGTGCGTTTCAGTAAATCCACATGTGTTCAATGTGATTGAGATCCGGACTGTTTGCAGGCCACGGCAGTAACTGTATACCAGCCTCCTCTAGGGCTTCTCTGGTAGCCCTAACTGTATGAGCGCGAGCATTATCGTGCATCAGATGGAATCTTGCTTAAATTATCTGTGCATATGGGACCACATGGGGTCTGATGACCGTCTCGATATAACGTTGAGCTGTAATTGTGCCTTCGTTGAGAATTACCAACTCGGTACCTGATATAGAGATGCCTCCCCACACCATTGGGGCTGCCACCGTAAGCAAGGGCCTGCGGTCGGCGAGTAAGGGCAGCTCGCCGCCCGACCAGAACCAGGCCCGAGCGTACGGCGCGTAGCGTTCCGCGCGCGCCTCAAAGAGCCATTCGACCACCACAGACGGGCCCTAAAGGGCTGATGTTCAGCCGGGGTTGCGGGGTAAGCGCAATGAGGTACCGCGACCTCGGCACAGAGCAGGAGAAGGAACGGAGGTTTTTAGTCAGTAAGAGTCTGACACTCCCTCCTGCCCGGCCCTGGGCGGGAGAAGTCATTTGATGATTTTCCCCTCACAAAAAAAAAAAACACCATTGGGGCTCCCAAATCTGTCACTTTCATGGATACAAGCATCCGAAAATCGCTCACTTTCACGCCTCCAAACCCTAATGCGACGGTCATCACTTGCATGTTCATATAGATGGGATAGTTTCTAAAGCTTATCAAATGGTTGGTTTCGTTATGAGGACTTCTCGGAAGTTTCGTCGACCCACCTTTTTACATTTATACAAATCCATAATTAGACCTCAGTTTGGAGTTTGCAGTACCTATATGGAATCCTCTGTACAAGAAATATAGTGATACTGTCGAAATGGTACAACGCAAGTATCTTCGTGCAGTTAGCTATAGATGTGTTCGCAGAAAATCCTCATACTACCTATTACTCAAAAAGTATAATCTTTTAACGTTACAGTCAAGACGAATGCAATATTCATTCGACTCTGTTTAATGTGTGTCGCAATGGGTTCGATTGTCCTGACTTGATCAAGAGTTATATACTACCTGGTTCCTCGCACAGCTTATACACGTGAGGTGCGCGATTGGCGTTTGTTTGCTACTAACTATTGCAGATCCAATGCCGGCTCGCGATCGCCTCTTCATCGCATGGTTGAGACTTACAACCGTGAATTCAACGGGATCGGCATACATTTTCTAAGTAAAAACGTTTTTAAAAAGCAAATTCGGACAACGCTTTGGGATCGGCAGTCTGTCTGTGATGCAATGTGTGTACGAAATTGTAAGTAGGGATGTGACTTGGTGCTTGAAAAATCGATTTTTTATTGCTGGCAAATAATCGATTTAAAATAAATCGATGTTTTTACTAAAAATAATCGATTATTTCATAAAAATCGATTTTTAAGGGATAAAATTAAACAGCTTAAAAGTACGAAAAATCAACTTATTTGCAATAATAATAATAATGAATAACAATTCAGTTCAGTACCTACTGCTGCCACAAATCTGTGGGCAAACACTGAAGGAATAATAGTTTGGTCAATCTTTGCCCCATGATGTGGTTTCTTGTTTTTCGGACAATATTTCCAGCCTTCGAAAGAAGGCGCTCTGCCGGAGCTGAAGAAGCACTCACCAGAAGGTGCTTGCAAGCTAACTTTGCAAGCTTTGGATAGGCTCCTTCATAATTTTTCCAGGTAGCCAGTGCAAGGGAGCAGCAATATATAAATCCAATTCTGATGTCCCTGGCTCATTAGCTTTTGACGATGAGCTTGCCATATGTCATCCTGATCAACTTCATCAGACGCTGAAGCTTGGCTTACAACAGGAGCAGCACCCAAATCGTTGGTATCATTCAAATATCGCTTTATAAAGTTTATGGTTTTGGCCAAGGCTGTCCTATCGTCCAAATGAATCTTTTTAAAGAGAGGGTCTAAGATAGTTGTCATCGAAAACAAATGGACCTTTTGTATATTGTCAAATCTCTTCTTTATTTCGTTTAAAAGCGTATTTCTCAACTGGACAGTTAGATCATTTGTTGGAGTAATGGTCTCTAAATATTCTCTTAGCATTTTATCATTGGTTTGGCTTTACTCTAGCGGTGGGTCGTCGACGTCTTTGCAGTC